TTAGGCAATAGCGTTGCCGAATGCTCTAGTTGCAAAGAGCCATCAAGCTGGAGTAGCCGAGGACAACAACTTCTTGTTTGCAAGATGTTGTTATGGCGGGAAAGGTCATATACGAAGGAGTGACTGTTTAAGGGCATATGCAGATAAGGCTGGCATTAACAATATATCCTGCATCTTGTCCAACAAACTTTGCAAACATGTAGCAACTGCATCTAAGATTCTTGCATTAAAGGAACATCAGCTCAAAACTCTAGCCAACATCATTGGCCACGATCTGCGGGTATATCACGAATACCAGTTGCCAGATACTGTACTGCGGGTCACCAAAATGTCGAGATTTTTCCTGAGCTTGGAGAGTAGCAACCTGCCGTCCCAGCAGGGCAAATCCTGGGCAAAATGCATGTAGATGGATGTAAGGGCATGCTTTACTCCAACGGTGTTTCCCATGCCCCATCTATCTAACGCTTGACTTCAAACTACCTCAACAAAACCAAGAGTCAAACTTTTTACGGCATAAAACCCAGCCTGAAACATTATCTTTCCTCCCGATCCCACCAAAGGAAGAACAGATCAATGCAAAGAAAGAAGAGGCGCGAAATGACCCCAATTAATGTATCTTGCCCAAAGAACTCCAGGAATAATTATCGAGTTTTGCCAGCAACCTCCCTCAATTACCCCACAGGTAACTGTTCCAAAATGTGTACTTTAACTGATGGATTTCAGAGATTTTTTTTACTGCAGACGGCTTCGCCGGTGAAGGGGACAGCAACGACAGTAGGGACAGCAGTGACAGCAACAAGAACTCTAGCGATGAATCCGTTCGAAAACGGTAAGATTTGGCGACTCTGTTTGTCTGTCGGTAAGTTGGGCGGGCTGGATGTCTGTCTGCCTGGCTGTCTGTCTGTCACTTACATTTGTGACACCTTTTCTTGCCTCTACATTAATAGAAAGCTTCCTGGCGATGCTGTACCACCCAGAAGGGAGCCCTGTCCACCTTCAAGACAAGTGATGCACCGTCCCTGGACTACAGCAGAGAAGACAGACTTCCAAGAAGGCATGCGCAAATTCTTGCAGCCTGAGGAAAGTTCCTGGCAAACACGACATCGAAGCAGCTTGCACCAAGGCACTGCCGACCCGAACTTGGAGGAACATCAAAGACTTTTGTCAAATGAAGCTGTAGCCAAGTTAAGTTATCATATGCTGCACAAGCCATTTTCTTGAGACTTTATACCATTTTGATGCTGTACCCTATAGCAGCATACCAATTACGCAACCTAATTTATTGGCCCAAACAACCAAGAACTCGTGTGTGTTGTCCTGAGTGTTATAGCCTGCACTTACATGGACAAATTGTGCTCTTTCTGATACACTGGGAAGTATGCCCTCCATCTGCAGTGTGTGCATGGGTGGGTTTCTGGTGGGTAATATTGCCCAAGCAAAAACTGCCTGTCCCGTTTTTTTTTAGAGCTTCACAGTCCTTACCCCTCAAATTCTAATATGATTTTTACACATCCTACGGGGGTTAGCGATGGGTGTCTTCTGGACATTCCCATGAAACGCTGCATTGGTACTGTGAGGTGCGAGTGTGAGCATGCAGTGACTATCCTAAGCAATCCAAACGATTCTGTGACCCATAGACATTTTACTGATGAGTCTTAGCCAAAGACTCTGTGATTTACAAAACTGTAAGCTGTGATGCATCAGTCGGTCGGTCAATCTAAAAAACATACCTGTGTAGGTGCCACTAATTGAGGGGTCCTTATCCAGAGAAATTATACCGTCCCCATCGGCAATGAGGTGTGCCCAGGCATGAAATCGCTTGGTGATCTCTGTGACATGCGATCGGATGGTAACTGGACAGTGCGGTACTAGCCCAACCACTGAGATGGCCACATGTTCGTCCATAAGGCTCGAACTTGGAGAAACAATAATAGTTGCCATTAGTCTAGTTGCGAATAACGAGAACCAAAAATTAGAGTTTACTCCCGTAACTTTGCCCTGATGTGCTGTTTGAGTCTAGCTAATTACATGTGTAGGGCAAGTGTAATGAACGGCTCCAGGCCTGAGATCCCATAATAGCTACATTTTATCAGCGTGGTCAAATTTTTTAAATATATTTTCTCGTGTAGAGTCAACCTTGATTGATCCTTATCTCTTAATAACACTCGTGTGAGATACTAACAGTATCAAGGTCCGTCGTGAGTCAAACCACGGAGAAGCCGTGCGTATAGGTTTGACACCAAAAGGTTTAATAAATCGTCACTGCTGTTGCTGCTGCATATATACTGGTCCACTACCCACTTGTGCTGCAATCATTGCTGTCGAAATATAAGGCTAAATTGATGTGTGATTGTTGCAAGATCTTCGACGGGAAATGGGACAGAAAAAATATCTGTGGACGTTGACTTCTTGTAATGAATACTTTTGCATTAGTTTTAATCTGCAGGTTTTAGGTGCGTTATGAAGTTGGCACTTAATGTAGGCAAATGATCGAGTGTAGCTCTACGCCTTGAATATGAAGTGAAGTTAAAGGAATTGAATAAACCTCCAGGTGTTAAGGTTTCCTTGCTGTAATAAAGGAAATAATGCACACATACTAGAAAAAGAATAAATTAACTAGATTATATGTAACTCTTGGGCTTTATTTGGGGGAGAGGGGCAGGGCAACTTTTTGTTGAAATTCAGCCATATGACACTGGTCTTGCGTCAATTACATTGGCTCCCACTGAAATTCCGCAAAGATTTTAAAATGCTTCTTTTAACTTGTAAAGCTTTACACGGTGTGTCACATGGTGTTAGGAAGGCTTATTGTATACGTTCTAATAATAAAGCATAATTGGATTATACCAAGTGTACTTTTTAAAAACACTGGGAGGCAGATATTTTCTATATGCAGCCCCTGAGTTATGGAATAAGTTGCCTGCGGATATCCAACAATCACAATCCCTCTCTATTTTTAAGCGTGAAGTAAAGACCTATCTCTTTTTAATTTTTAAATTCTGGAAATTGTAAATTTGAATCATCGTTCTTTCAATAATTGTTCTCTGCTAGTTTAATTATTTTTAAGTGGTCTTAGCTGTCTTTTTAAAGTAATATTACAAATATTTTGTGTAATGCGTGTCGGATCATTGTCATGGAGACCGCGCAATATAAATTTTAATTTATCATTATTATTATTAATGATATGACCATCAGATGAAATCAATTTCCTGCAGAAAGTTTCCTGCCGAAAGTTGCCTGCCGATATCCAACAATCACAATCCCTCTCTATTTTTAAGCATAAAGTAAAGACCTATCATTTTAATTAAGTTTAATGTTAATTTTTAAATGCTGGAAATTGTAAATTTGAATCATTGTTCTTTCAACAATTTTTCTCTGCTAGTTTAATTTTTTTAAGTGGTCTTAGCTGTCTTTTTAAAGTAATATTACAAATATTTTGTGTAATGCGCGTTTGATAATTGTCATGGAGACCGCGCAATATAAATTTTAATTTATCATTATTATTATTAATGATGTGACCATCAGATGAAATCAATTTCCATGTCGAAACCTTCTCTTTCTAGCTATTTGCAAAGTTCAATCCAATGGGACATGTACTTCATGAGATATTCGGCTTTATAAAATGCACCTTTAAAGTCACGTGACTTAATTAAATTGTCATCCGATCATCACATCAGATCACTTTGTGTCTAAAACCCTTGCCCTCTTGTTCTCAAGATATAGCACTTTAAACAGTGCCCCTTTAATGTCATGTGACTTGTCACGTGATGACTCACAATCACATCAGGTCAATTTGGGTCAAACCCTTTCGCCTTTGAGCTATACACAAAGTAAATATTCAAAATTCAAAAATAAATCACATGATGAAGTCATCATGAGGAATTTCTGCTAGGACCAACCTGTCATGAATATCTAAAGATCTAAAAAGTTTTAAATCCATCGGATAAATAAACTATAATAATAAACTGTGACCCTGCCACAAAAAAGAGTCTGAAAAAAGAGATGAAGAAAAACGAGAAATGTGTTTGTGTACAAACATAGTTGCTTCGGCCCTGGTTTTATTGACCTGAAACCTGAAAACCAGTGACGAAATTCTTGACCAAGTACTTACGATATTATAATTACCGCTAATGGGTCAATAGGGAGACATTCCCATAAGAACTTGCGCAAAAGTTTTCCAACTTTACTGTCCCATAATTCAATATTCCCTAATCTGATCTGAAACAAACTTTGTATGTTTTCATTTTAGGCCCTAAACTATCGTCTCTCAAAATATGGACGGTAAAATTCGGCCTCCTTCTGGTAGTTTGAAAATAAGGAGACACTGAAATGTCTGAAAAATGTCTCCCTAAAAGCCAGTGTCTCCCTAATGCTGAAAAATTTAACAACAAATGTCTCCCAAATGACCCATTTGTAAATATTTAATATTGCACAAGTACAAATGAACAATACAGTACAGTGGAATATGGAAACTCCATGTCATCTTGATAAATGGAACATGGTTTGCAAAGTTTCGACCAAATGGGACATGGTCTTCGCGAGATACATAGCTTTGAAGAGTGCCCTTTTAATGTCACTTGACTTGTCAGTCGATGACTTCCTACTCACATCAGGTCAAATTAGGTCTCAAACCCTTCCCTCTCAAGCTATATACAAAATTTCAAGAAAATTGGACACGTAATTCACGAGATATAGTGATTTAAAGAGTGCCCCTTTAAAGTCAAGTGACTTTTCACTTGATGATGTCATTATCACATCGGTTCAGTTTACGTCTGAAACCTTTCCCCTTCCAACTACACACAAATTTTCAACCGAATCATATATGTACTTCCCGAGATATAGCACTTTAAGCAAGTGTCCCTTTAATGTCAGGTGACTTGTCACATGATGACGTCATTGTGACGATTTGGCTTTGGACTATCCTTGTAATTGTTGGAAGGTCTGCTAAGTACTCAGTCAATTATTTTTTAACGTACCTAATTCAAGTAACACAATAATTTAGTAGAAAAACGTATACAAAACATACTAAAAAAAATTAAATATTCAAAATTCAGAAATAAATCAAGTGATGACATCATCACCACGAATTTCTTCTAGGACCTACCTCACATAAATATCTTAAGGTTACCAAGTTTCAAATCGATCGGATGAATAAAACTACCCCGTCACAATAAAGTGTCTGAAAAAGGAAAACAAAAACCGGGGGTCATCTGTCTGTTTGCCAACAGAACAAAAGGCTTTTTCGCATTCTTTTGTACATTTGAACAACTAAAACATCATCATATCAAGTCATTTTCGTATATAACACCTCTCTTCCAGGTTATCTACCAAGTTTCAACCTGAAAGAACATGTACTTCAGGAGATATAGGGCTTTAAAGAGTGCACCTTTAATGTCACGTGACTTGTCCCGGATGATGTCATCATCACATGAGGTCAGTATTCCTCTTAAACAATCCCTTTTTAAGATTTTGAACGCAATCTGACATATACTTTAGGAGATATAGTGCCTTATAGTAGGGGGGTGGTATTATTTTGGGTTTTTTGGCATTTAGATATCGTGCCCCCTTTAAAATATGTAGAGGGCTATCGGAAACCAAATTAAAACTTTGAAATAGCATTTTGAAAAGTTTAACCCCTCTGTACACACCCCCTAAAGTTTTGGAATGAAGAGCGCCCTCTATTGTTAGTTTCACTCAGTTTTTCAGTCAGGTTCCTAGACTCCGTGTCTACTGAGTAAGCATATATTGACGGACTGGCCAACCGACCCCTGCAAGCTCGGTGGTCGAGTGGTTAAGACATCTGCACTAG